GAAGGAACCAAATCAGGACTGGAGGTTGGATGCCTAATAGTCTCCCAACAAAACTCTCTCAAAATTGCCCTTGTCTGATGAAAGGAATAAACAGGAGCATTGTTGTGGTGAAGAATAACTCTCTGGTGAAGGTTTCCTGGGTGTTTTTTCTGCTAAAACTTTGGCTACCTTTCTCACAACCCTCTCATAATAAGCAGATGTATAGGTTTCTTTTTGGCCCTTTGGACAATCAAAAAGCAAAATGCCTTGAACATCTCAAAAAACTTTGGCATTATCTTTGCTTTTGACCCGTTTGCCTTTGCTTGGACTGGACCTCTTTTACCACTTGGTAGCCATTGTTTTGACTCTGATTTGTCTTCAGTGTTGTACTGGTAAAGCCATGCTTCACCTTCTGTTACAATTCCTCAAAGAAATAATTCAAGATTTTGATCCCACATGCTTAAAATTTCCATTAAAACTCCAATCTTGTCTGTGGCTGATCTGGGTGCAATGGTTTTGGCCCCCATGAATGGAAACATTGAGTTGAACGTTAATTTTTCAGTCAGAATTGTGTAAGCTGAACTTAGTGAGATGTCCATGGTGTTGGCTTGTTTCTTCTATTAATTGTCAGTTACTTCAATTAGGACAGAAACAAGATGAAGTTTTCCTCACAAATTGATGAGGATAATCCACTGCTGAGGAATTCATCTTCCACATAGTCTTGTCCCTTCTTTAAAATAAGTTCAACCATTTATAAGTTATTCATTTCTTTGGGTCACTGTCCCCATAAACTGTCTAAAGCATTTAATCATTTCATATTTTTAATCTAAACCTCACGATAAGTTCGATGTTTCTTCTTCCTTCAATTTTAGCAGAATTTATGTTGCTGTGATGGGCTCTCTTTTGAATCTGATGTCTTATTCTTCTTTGTGCTTCATACTACATTCCGTTTAAACATGCTATAATGAGATAGCACAAGTTTATTTTTATGAGGAAAATGTTTGAAACTCATGAATAGTTTTTTATAATATATATTTTCCAGAAACATTTTTTGAAATTCCTTCATGTAACCAGACAAAACTGACGGTCGGGCTGCTTATTCTTGTGGCTCAACAATGAGATGCCAATGAACTGGGAAAGAAGGGAGCTTATTTCTATAACCAGGTACAGAGAGTAGACCTAGAAAATATTGCCAGACCAACTCAAAATTACAAAGCTTCTCAGAGCTTATATACTTTCTAGGCTATATGTCTACATGTAAGTGTACATTCATCTAAAGATATAAGTGATTAACTTCTAATCTGTAACTAAAATCGGAGTCCTGAAGACCTTCCTCTGGAGCCTCAGTAAATGTGCCTAATTCAAATGTGTCCAGGTGCTGGAGTGATTACCCTTATCTTGTCTCCTGCTAAATCAGGAGTTCCTTAAACCCCCAATAAACTTATTTGTGGAGACCTAGGGACTTTCTTCAGGCTCCCAATAAAACTTGTTTAATTCTAAATGGGTCCCGTTAAAAATTCCTTTATTATCTTGTCATACTTCAAGACCCAGAAAAGGCCTGGGCAAAACTCTTGGTGGGTGTTTGTTACATTCCAGAATTTGTAAGGGCGCTGGGTCTATCAGCTTTTAATATCTAACTTCACCGCTCAGTCAGTGCTGAAACAGTTGTTACAGAGGCCAGCATTAGTAAGATGTGACGTGCCACAGTCAAACTTTCTTCATAGAATTGTTATAAGTAGTAAGTGACAAATAGGTAACGTATGAAGCATTTATTAAGTAATCAAAACCATTGACTAGTATTACTAATATAGAAAGTTATGACATGCAGTAGTGCCCAATAAGTTCTTATTGACTAAATGAACGAACAAATGTCATAAAATACCAACTCCTCTCAAAAGAAAAGTATATTGGAAAATGTAGTTTTGTAAAAAAAAAAAAAAAAAAAAAAAAAAAAAACAGAAGCAAGTTTCATCTACAAGCCACTAACTCTCATATTCTGATTGGATTAAAACCATTATTTTCTCCTCAAGAGTGTTTCTGATTAGCTGTGTGATTTTAGCCCAGGAATCACCAAGCAGAAAAGCAAAAGTTAAAGTAGGTTTGTAAACATTATCTAACAGATGACAAAAGTATTTGCCTCTGCTGTGTCTTCAGTTCCCAGAGTAGCCAAGATTTCCAGTGAGAGAATTCAGGAGTTTATATCTCACCTTTGTGAGCAATTTCCACCCACTCCATCAAACTCCATGATGCCATTGTTCATGTCCATTTCCTGATGCAGACAGCTGCTCACTTCTTGTTTCTATTGTGTTAAGCTCAGAGGTCATCAAGTTCTCACTTGTGGGCTTTGTGTTGGGCATGCAAGGTACAAGAAAAAGCAGCAGACTTACCTCCATGAAGAGCTTTTTGCCATTTGTAAAATCCCTCTTTGTGAAGACCAACAAATAAGACCATGACTTTTCTGAAGTGATGTTAGTCTTTTAAATATTCAATATCATAGTTGTCCAATGGGAAGGCCATTAGAGTTTTTCTATAAATAAATGAGTGGAATGTTTCATTGGCTCCTACTCAAACTTTTCCCCAAATACCTTACCTTAAGTGGAAATAAGTTGCAAAATGAAGAGACAGAGTACTGGGCCAAACACAACAGACAACGTATGTATTTCCTAATCAGGCATGCATGTAGAGATAGGACATGCTATAAAGATGGCCCATAACACTGCTTGGTTACATGCACCCACCACTGATGTTAATTATAGAGCAATCTATATTGCCACTAACAGGGTTACTGGGCAGCAGTAGTCCTACTACAAGGTCAGACTTTCTCAAATGCGTGCAGAGCTCAGTGTGAACTAGAACTCTGACTTTTATTTTTATCTTTTCTTTTGGAAAAGACAGTCACGAAGCAGTTCATATCACTCTGTCATCCCCATATTGTACTCAAAGGATTTAATAGACTGGTTATGCAAATATCTAAACATCGGATTAAAATATATGAGAAGTGCTTTGCAGTCATTTCTATAACATTCGTTGTTAGTGTTTTAAAATTCTTCTTTCTAAAGAATTCAAGCCACATTGCAGTCATTACCTAATTCAACCTGCCAGTGCCCAGGGAGATATCAGATTAGTATCATTCTTTTCTGTTTCATCTCAAGGGAAACTGAAGCATGGAACATTTTCCAGAATGTATATGAATCCATAATACAGCAAAAACTAAATCAGAGAAACCCTGGAACCCTACGCAGAAAATTCAACTAGAATGCCTCATGTAAAATTGTTACAAATGTCCTAATTGAATGTTGCAACATTACAGCACAGAGCTTACACTACCCTCATAATATAAAATTGCAGCACCCTTATCTGGTAAATAGAATAGGCTCATAAACCTATTCATAAAATAGGCTCTCAAAGGTTGAGAATCAGCTCTAGGGCTGAGGCAGTACCTCAGGGAACAGCAATGTTATAATGCAATGTTTTCCAGAGTGTGTTCTAGAAAAAAAATCTCAAATGATGTTTTATAAGCAAAGGTCAAATAAATATAGGAATTGCCACATGTATAATTCTCCTTGAATATTTACACTAGCATACAAAAGAACTTTGAGAAATCCTGCAGTACAAGAATATGCCAAAAAGATATGTATCATTTTGAATTCTTTGTAAACAGTGGAGAAAGGCTTTGATTAACTTAATCAAAAAGAATATTTTTTCAGAAGGATAGTGGACAGATTGCTCATGTATTCTAGTTGGAAATGAAGAAGTCCTCTAGAAGGACAAGGGTCAGTCAAGCCTCATTTAGGCATTTCAACAAAAATTTATGGACTTTCTTTAGGCCACATCTGTCAAATAACATGGCTACAGATTTCTTCCCACTTCCATCCTGTGTTTATCTTTATTTTACTTGACTAGAAAGTTTGGCTGGCTTATTGGAAAATTAAAAAAAAAAAAAAGGCACCTCTACCTTAAACTATGTCACTGAATTACAGTTGACCTCAAGCAAATCACTAAATCAAGTGGTTATTATGCATAATGGACAAAATTATTTTAGCAATTATTCATAGCTCTAATATTATTATCTAAGTTGAATTTCAAGCCTTTAACATTTCTTGATGGTCTTAAGAAACACCCCAAATGTTTCTTTGGTTATTTTTCCAAACCTAAACCTCTTTTTAAACTGTGCTGCACTGTGAGGCTCTAGACAGTTTAGTTTTATTATTCTCTGTTATGTTTTCTTTGGGAAAGCTGAAGTGTGGTCAAAACAAAGCCAAAAGGAACTTGACCTCTAAAATGGAAAATTTTCACTAAAAATTCCTCTTACTATAAGATCAGTAATAAAAAGTAGGCAGAAAAATAAAGATGAAACTTTATTTTACATTTTGATTCTAAGTCCCAAAACTATAAGCTTTCATCAGCTGACCATGCCCCAACATTTGCTTGCTGCCTGTCATACATGGTCAAAAGATTAGTTGCTTCTTTGCCAGTTTAGGTTTAATATTTCCTATAAAGCACCAATGAAAATAATATGAAAATAATATTGCAGTGTGGGCTTAATATATCCTATAAAACTGTAATGAAAATAAAATTGTTGGCAAGATGGCCAAATAGAAACAACTCCAGTCTGCAGCTCCAGCAAGATCAATGCAGAAGGCAGGTGATCTCCGCATTTCCAACTGAGGTATCCAGCTCATCCCATTGGGACAGGTTAGACAGTGGGTGCAGCCCACGGAGGGTAAGCCAAAGCACGGTGAAGCATCACCTCACTCAGCAAGCACAAGGGGTCAGGGAACTCCCTCTTCTAGCCAAAGGAAGCCATGATGGACTGACAAATGGTACACTCCAGCTCAGATACTATACTTTTCCCACAGTCCTTGCAACCCATAGACCAGTAGATTCCCTCAGATGTCTATAACACTGGGACCCTGGGGGTTTTGTTTTTGTTTTTTTTTTTGGAGAATTCACATTTATCGAATAACTGATGTGATAGAGCCTGGAATTTCTGAATTCCAAATAAATAAATTTCACTCTTCGAACATTTCATCTTTTACTTTTTGGCACCAACAGACTTGATAACAGCCTGAGGCTGATCTCACAATGGGCTGACAACCTTCCCCTACTGGCCCTTCAGTCTGCTTAATAACAAGTCCTTTGCTTCTATCATTCTCCTGGGGGATGGCCTACTGCCCTCCTTTCTGTACAATCTGGGCAAACCGACTGGTAATGGCAAGAGTGGTGTCAATGAAGCGGTCTACAGAGTTGGAGAGACAGTTTTCAGTGCAAGAATCTAGGCAATTCCATGACTTCTCCACACACTTATCCCAACATAGTTCCATGAAATGATGCATCTGTGCAGTAAACTGAGCCTTCTGCTGTTCAGCAGCCACCAAGCATTGCAATTTCGCTTCATCGGCTTCATCCAGCTCCGCCATTGTTTGCCTTAGCCTCAGCACCTTCTGACAACCATGTTTGCACATGCATGACGGGTGTACCCCCACCTCTCGACTTCTGGTTCACCCCAAAACTGGACAGCCATTTGGACTCACAGCAAGCTAGCTGCAGAATATTTTTCTCACATCCCAGTGGTACCTGGAATGCCAGCGAGACAGAACAATTCACTCTCCTGGAAAGAGGGCTGAAGCCAGAGAGCCAAGTGGTCTAGTTCAGCAGGTCTCACTCCCATGAAGCCCAGCAACCTAAGATCCACTGGTTTGAAATTCTCACTGACAGCACAGCCATCTGAAGTCAACCTAGGATGCTCTAGCTTGGTGGAGGGAGGGATGTCAGCCATTACTGAGGCTTGAGTAGACAGTTTCCCCTCACAGTGTAAACAAAGCTGCCAGGAAATTCAAACTGGGCAGAGTCCACCACAGCTGGGTAGCCAGACTGCCTCTCTAGCTTCCTCCTGTCTGGGCAGGTTATCTCTAAAAGAAAGGCAGCAGCCTCAGTCAGGGGCTTATAGATAAAACTCCCATCTCCTTGGGACAGAGCACCTGGAGGAAGGGGTGGCTGTGGGTGCATCTTCAGCAGACTTAAACATTCCTGCCTGCTAGCTCTGGAGACAGCAGCATGTCTCCCAGCACTGCACTCAACCTCTGCTAAGGAATAGACTGCCTCCTCAAGTGGGTCCTGAGCTCCGTGCCTCCTGATGGGGAGACACCTCCCCACAGGGGTTGACAGACACTTAATACAGGACAGTTCCAGCTGGCATCTGGGTGGTGTTCCTCTAAGACAAAGCTTCCCATGGAAGGAGCAGGCTCTGCTGGTGATACAGGCAAACAGGGTCTGGAGTGGACCTCCAGCAAACTCGAGCAGACCTACAGCAGAGGGGCCTGACTATTAGAAGGAAAACTAACAATCAGAAAGGAATAGCATCAACATCAAACAAAAAGAGGTCCAACAGAAACGCCACCCAAGCCCACCACATGAAAGGCAAATGGTAGATAAATCCACAAAAGATGAGGAAAAATCATTGCAAAAAACGCCAAAAATTCAAAAAACCAGAATGCCTCTTCTCCTCCAAAGGAGCATAACTCCTTGCCAGCAAGGAACAAAACTGGATAGAGAATGATTTTGACAAATTGACAAAAGTACCCTTCACAATGTGGGTAATAACAAACTCCTCTGAGCTAAAGGACCATGTTTTAACCCAATAAAAGGAAGCTAAGAACCTTGAAAAAAGATTAGAAGAATTGCTAACTAGAATAACCAATTTAGAGAAGAAAATAAATGACCTGATGGAGCTGAAAAATACAACATGAGAACTTTGTAAAGCACATACAAGTATCAATGGCCAAATCAATCAACCAGAAGAAAGAATATCAGAGACTAAAGATCAACTTAATGAAATAAAGTGTGAAGACAAGATTAGAGAAAAAAAGAATGAAAAGAAATGAACAAAGCATCCAAAACATATGGGACTATGTAAAAAGACCAAACCTACCTTTAATTCCTGTACCTGAAAGTGATGGGGAGAATGGAACCAAGTTGGAAAAAACATTTCAAGATATTATCCAGGGTAACTTCCCTAACCTAGCAAGACAGGCCACAGTTCAAATTCAAAAAATACAGAGAACACCACAAACATACTCCTCAAGAAGTGCAACTTGAAGACACATTTTGTCAGATCCACCACAGTTGAAACGAAGGAAAAAATGTTAAGGAAGCCAGAGAGAAGGGTCAGGTTACTCACCAAGGTAACCCCATCAAACTAATAGCTGATATCTCTGCAGAAACCATACAAGCCAGAGGAGAGTGGGGACCAAAAATTTAAATCCTCGAAGAAAAGAATTTTCAACCCAGAATTTCATATCCAGCCACAATAAGCTTCATAAACGAAGGAGAAATAAAATCCTTTACAACAAGCAAATGCTGAGAGATTTTGTCACCACCAGGCCTGCCTTTCAAGAGCCCCTGAAGGAAGCACTAAACATGGAAAGAAAAAAACAGTACAAGCCACTGCAAAAGCTTACCAAATGGTAAAGACCATTGACACTATAAAGAAACAGCATCAACTAATGGCCAAAATGACCAGCTAGCATCATAATGACAGGATCAAATTCACCCATAACAATATTATCCTTAAATGTAAATGGGCTAAATGCCCCAATTAAAAGACACAGACTGGCAAATTGGATAGTCAAGATGGATCAATGTGCTGTATTAAAGAGACCCATCTCATGTGCAAAGACACACATAGACTCAAAATAAAGAAATGGAGAAAGATTTACCAAGAAAATAGAAAGCAAAGGAAAAAAAACAGGGGTTGCAATCCTAGTCTCTGATAAAACAGACTTTAAACCAGCAGAGATCAAAAGAGACAAAGAAGGACATTACATAATGTTAAAGGGATCAATGCAACAAGAAGAGCTATCTTAGGTATGTATGCAACCAATATGGGAGCACCCAGATTCATAAAGCAAGTTCTTAGAGACATACAAAGAGACTTAGACTTCCCCACAATAATAGTGGGAGACTTTAAAACCCTACTGTCAACATTACCAGATCAACAAGACTGAAAATTAACAAGGATATTCAGGACTTGAATATCTGGACCAAGCACACCTAGTAGACATCTGCAGAACTCTCTACCCCAAATAGACAGAATATTCATTCTTCTTAGCACCTATAGCACTTATTCTAAAATTCACTATATAACTAGAAGTGAAACACTCGTAAGCAAATGCAAAGAATGGAAATCATAGCAAACAATCTCTCAGACTGCAGTGCAATCAAACTAGAACTCAGGATTAAGAGACTCACTCAAAACCACATAACTACATGGAAACTGAACAACCTGCTCCTGAATGACTAGTAGATAAATGATGAAGTTAAGGCAGAAATTAAGAAGATCTTTGAAACCAATGAGAACAAGACACAATGTACCAGAATATCTGGAATGCAGACACAGCAGTGTTCAGAGGGAAATTTATAGCACTAAATGCCCAGAAGAGAAAGCAAGAAAGATCTAAATCAACACCCTAACATCACAATTAAAAGAACTAGAGACACAAGAGCAAACAAATTCAAAAGCTGGTGAAAAACAAGAAATAACCAAGATCAGAGCAGGACTGAAGGAGACAGAGACACAAAAGACCCTCCAAAAAAATCAATAAATCCAGAAGGTGGTTTTTTGAAAAGATTAACAAAATAGGTAGATCATTAACCAGACTAATACAAAATAAAAGACAGAAGAATCAAATAGACACAATAAAAACTCTATCACCAATGGCCATACTGCTGAAAGTAATTTACAGATTCAGTTCTATCCCCATCAAGCTACCAATGACCTTCTTCAGAGAACTGGAAAAACCCACCTTAAACTTCATGCAGAACAAAAAGAGAGCCCACATAGCCAAGTCGATTCTAAGCAAAAAGAACAAAGTGGGAGGCATCACACTATCGGACTTCAAACTATACTACAAGGCTACAGTAATCAAAACAGTATGGTACTGGTACCACAACAGAGACATAGACCAAGAGAACAGAACACAGGCTGTGGAAGAAATGTCACACATCTACAACCATCTCATCTTTGACAAACCTGACAAAAACAAGCAATGGGGAAAGGATTCCCTGTTTAATAAATGGTGTTTGGAAAACTGGCTAGCCATGTGCAGAAAGCAGAAGCTGGGCCCCTTCCTGACACCTTACACTAAAATTAACTCCAGATGGATTAAAGACTTAAACATAAGACCTAACACCATAAAAACCCTAGAAGAAAATCTAGGCAAAACCCATTTATGACATAGGCATAAGCAAGGACTTCATGACTAAAACACCAAAAGCATTGCAAAGAAAGCCAAACAAACAAATAGGACCTAATCAAACTCCACCAGCCTCTGCACAGCAAAAGAAATGATCATTAGAGTGAATCAGCAACCAACAGAATGGGAAAAAATTTTTGCAATACCCATTTGACAAAGGGCTGATATCCACAATCTACAAAGAACTAAAACAGATTTACAAGAAAAAAAAACAAACAAGCCCATTCAAAACTGGGCAAAGGATATAAACAGACACTTTACAAAAGAAGACAGGGCCGGGCGTGTTGGCTCACGCCTGTAATCCCAGCACTTAGGGAGGCCGAGGCGGGTGGATCACGAGGTCAAGAGATCGAGACCATCCTGGTCAACATGGTGAAACCCCATCTCTACTAAAAATACAAAAAATTAGCTGGGCATGGTGGCGCATGCCTGTAATCCCAGCTACTCAGGAGGCTGAGGCAGGAGAATTGCCTGAACCCAGGAGGCGGAGGTTGCGGTGAGCCGAGATCGTGCCATTGCACTCCAGCCTGGGTAACAGGAGCGAAACTCCGTCTCAAAAACAAACAAACAAACAAAAAGACATACATGAGGCCAACAAACATATGAAAAAAATGCTAATCAACACTGGTCATTAGAGAAATGCAAGTCAAAACCACACTGAGTTACCATCTCATGCCAGTTAGAGTGGCGATCATTAAAAACTCTGGAGACAACAGATGCTGGAGAGGATGTGGAAAAATAGGAACACTTTTACACTGTTGGTGGGAGTGTAAATTAGTTCAACAATTGTGGAAGACAGTGTGGCGATTCCTCAAGGACCTAGACATAAAAATTCCATTTGACCCAGCGATCCCATTACTGGGTATATATCTGAAAGATTATAAATTGTTCTACTATAAGGACACATGCACACGAATGTTCATTGCAGCACAGTTTACAGTAGCAAAGACCTGGAACCAACCCAAATGCCCATCAATGATAGACTGGACAGGGAAAATGTGGCACATATACACCATGGAATACTATGCAGTCATCAAAAATGATGAATTCGTGTCCTTTGTAGGGACATGGATGAACCTGGAAATCATCATTCTCAGCAACATGACAATACAGAAAATCAAACACCGCATGTTCTCACTCATAGGTGGGTGTTGAACAATGAGAACACATGGACACAGGGATGGGAGCATCACACACTGAGGTCTGTTGGGGGGAAATAGGGGAGGGACAGTGGGGGTGGGGAGTTGGGGAGAGATAGCATGTGGAGAAATGCCAGATATAGGTGATGGGGGAAGGCAGCAAATCAAACTGCCATGTGTGTACCTATGCAGCAATCTTACATGTTCTTCACATGTACCCCAAAACATAAAATGCAATAAAAAAATTGCCTTCACCCCAAAGTGAATACAATATTTAAATGTATTACAATTAAAAAAATAATGATGATAATAATAATGTACCTAGCCAGGTACAGTGACTCACACCTGTAATCTACCACTTTGGAAAGCCAAGGCAGGAATATCTCTAGAGGCCAGAAGTTCAGGACCCACCTGGGCAACATAGCAAGACCCCATCTCTTTAAAAAAATTCAAATTGGCCAGTCACAATGGTGCATTCCTATAGTCCCAGCATTTTGGGAGGCTGAGATAGGAGGTTGGCTTGAGTCCAGGAGTTCCAGACTGCAGTGAGCAATGATTCTACTACTGCACTCCAGCCTGGGTGACAGAGGCAGACCCTGTCTCAAAAGTAATAATAATAATAAGGAGTGAGAGAGAGTTTTGACAGAAGAGGAGAAGGTCATGTAAAGATAGTTACAGAGACCGGAGTGATTTAGCAACAAATGAAAAAATGCCGGTAGCCACCAGAAGTTAGAAGAAGCAAGAAGTATGTGTGTGTTTGAGACAGAGCTTCACTCTTGTTGCCCAGGCTGGAGTAAAATGGCACTATCTCAGCTCACCACAACTTCCACCTCCTGGGCTCAAGTGATTCTCCTGCCTCCGTCTCCCAAGTAGCTGGGATTACAGACATACCCCACCACGTCTGGATTATTTTTTTGAGGGATGGGGTTTCACCATGTTGGCCAGGCTGGTCTCAAACTCCTAACCTTAGGTGATCCACCCACCTTGGCCTTCCAAAGTGCTGAGATTACAGTTAGGAACCACCACACCTGGCCGTGTGTGTGTATTTTTTAATTGATGTGAAATTCCCATAAAATAAAATCAAGGATCTTAAAGTGAAAAAAAAAGTATCACCACTGATCCAACTGAAATACAAACTACCATGAGAGAATACTATAAACACCTCTATGCAAATAAACTGGAAAATTTAGAATAAATAGATAAATTTCTGGACACATACATCCTCCCAAGGCTAAATCAGGAAATTGTTGAATCACTGAATAGACTAATAACAAGTTCTAAAATTGAGGCAGTAATTAATAGGCTACCAACCACAAAGAAAAAGAAAAAAACCCAGGACCAGACAGATTCACAGCTGAATTCTACCACAGATACCATAAGGAGCTGGTACCTTTCTTTCTGAAACTACTCCAAACAATAGAAGAAGAGGGAATACTCCCTAAGTCATTTTATGAGGCCAGTATCATCCTGATAGGAAACCCTGGCAGAGACACACAAACAAAAAGAAAATTTCAGGCCAATTTCACTGATAAACATCAATGAGAAAATCCTCAATAAAATACTGACAAATCGAATCCAGCAGCACATCAAAAAGCTTATCCACCATGATCAAGTCAGCTTTATCCCTGGGATGCAAGGCTGGTTCAACATACACAAATCAATAAACGTAATCCATCACAGAACATAATCCATAAACAGAACCAATGACAAAACCCACGTGATTGTTTCAATAGCTGCAGAAAAGGCCTTTGATAAAATTTAACACCCTTCATGATAAAAATTCTCAATAAACTAGGTATTCATGAAACATATTTCAAAATAATAATAGGTATTTATGACACACCCATTGCCAATATCATACTGAATAGGCAAAAGCTGGAAGCATTTCCTTTGAGAAGTGGCATAAGACAAAGATGCCTTCTCTCACCACTCCTATTCAACATAGTATTGAAAGTTCTGACCAGGGCAATCAGGCAAGAGAAAAAAATAAAGGGTATTCAAATAGGAAGAGAAGAAGTCAAATTGTCTCTGTTTGCAGAAGACATGATTGTATATTTAGAAAACCCCATTATCTCAGCCCTAAATCTCCTTAAGCTGATAAGCAACTTTAGCAAAGTCTCAGGATGGGTAGGAATAATCAATATTGTGAAAATGGCCATACTTTCCAAAGTAATTTACAGATTCAATGCTATCTCCATCAAGCTACCATTGACTTTCTTCACAGAATAAGAAAAAAATCTACTTTAAATTTCATATGAAACCAAAAAAGAGCCTGTATAGCCAAGACAATCCTAAGCAAAAAGAACAAAGCTCGTAGTATCACACTACCTGACTTCAAACTATACTACAAGGCCACAGTAACCAAAACAACATGGTACTGGTACCAAAACAGATATATAGACCAATGGAACAGAACAGAGGCCTCAGAAATAACTCCACACATCTACAACCATCTGATCTTTGACAAACCTGACAAAAATAAGCAATGGGGAAAGGATTTCCTATTTAATAAATGATGTTAGGAAAACTGGCCATCCATATGCAGAAAACAAACTAGACGTCTTCCTTACATGTTATACAAAAATATACTCAAGATGGATTAAATACTTAAATGTCAGACCTAAAATTATAAGGTCTAGAAGAAAACCTAGGCAATACCATTCAAGACATAGGCATGGGCAAAGACTTCATGACTAAAACACCAAAAGTAATGTCAACAAAACCAAAATTGACAATGAGACTCATTTAAACTAAAGAGTTTCTGCACAGCAAAAGAAACTATCTTCAGATTGAACAGGCAGCCTACAGAATGGGAGACAATTTTTGCAATCTATCCATCTGACAAAGGGCTAATATCCAGAATCTACAAATAACTTAAACAAATTTACAAGAAAAAAAAAAAACACACAATCCATCAAAAAGTGAGTCAAGGATATGAACAGACACTTCCCAAAAGAAAACATTTATGAGCCAACAAACTTGAAACAAAAACTCATCATCACTGATCATTAGAGAAATGCAAATCAAAACCACAATGAGATACCATCTCATGCCAGTTAGAATGGCGACCATTAAAAGGTCAGGAAACAACAGATCCTGGAGAGGATGTGGAGAAACAGGAATGCTTTTACACTGTTGGTGGGAGTGTAAATTAATTCAACCATTGTGGAAGACAGTGTTGTGATTCCTCAAGGATCTAGAACCAGAAATACCATTTGATCTCCAGCAACCCTATTGCTAAGTATATACCCAAAGGATTATAAATCCATCTACTATAAAAACAAATGCACATATGTTTATTGTGGCACTGTTCACAATAGCAAAGACTTGGAGCCAACCCAAATGCCCATCAGTGATAGACTGGATAAAGAAAATGTGACACATATACACCATGGAATACTATGTAGCCATAAAAGAGAATGAGTTCATGTCCTTTGTAGGGACATGGATAAAGCTGGAAACTATCATTCTCAGCAAACTAGCACAAGAACAGAAAACCAAACACCACATGTTCTCACTCGTAAGTGGGAGTTGAATAATGAGAATACATGGACACAAGGAGGGTAACAACATACTGGGACCTGTTGGGGAATGGGAAGCTAGGGGAGGGATAGCATTAGGAGAAATACCTAATGTAGATGACGGTGTGATGGATGCAGCAAACCACCATGGCACATGTAACAAACCTGCACATTCTGCACTTGTATTTCAGAACTTAAAGTATAATAATAATAAATAATACTGCAGGCAGAAAGAAGGAAGCTCTCTTCCCCCTGCCCACCCAAAAAGGGATATTTATCTTGTTTCAAGTCACCATTTGAGAGGCATTTACAAAGTATAAGTTATTGGGTGTTAAAAATGAAATAAATGAATGTGGTTCTTTTCTTTTCAACTTTTATCCACACAGCCTCTGCAGCAAAATAACCCATGACCTTTTCTTATTTGCAAGGAAGCTCAGCCATGCCTCTGATGTTCTCTGTCTCCTATACCCTTCCTGTATCTTATAAGTTTTTCCCTGTTGCCATACATGTTCTTATTTCTTTCCTCTTTCTACACAGAAAAAGACAAAAGAAGACCATGGCCCTTTCACCTGAAAACAGGCCTAAAGTTACACAAGATCCTATTATTAGATTAGATGGTAGAAATAGGTTAGGCCCAAGTCAAACAACTCACTCTAACAGTTTACAAAAATTTTACTTGGAACCTACTAACGGTGAACTATGAATTTGTTTTCCTTTACTGTGATTCTTATATGAAATATGATATACAGAATGGTGTCATTCTGGTTCAGAATTCTAAAATCAATTTGGATAGTGGTCATTCTAAGACTGCCTGCATAACCTGCAACCTTAAAAACAAACAAACAAACAAACAAGCAAAAAACAGTAACTTGGTTGAACCGCTGAACCTGGCCAAACTGTAACAACCCCAACATGCTGAAACATAGCTGAATTTCACCAGTGCTGCAACTCTTGAATACCAAAAAGCAATGAACTATGGACTCAGGTTTAAGCCAGTTGCCTTCACCAACAATAATTCTTTTGAAATAACTTATGTAATCACCCTCTGCTTCCTTTTAAAATTCCCTACCAAACTCTCCTTCAGAACACAATTTGGCTTCCAGCCAGATCTGTGTCTCCCAAATTGCAATTCCTAAGACCTCAATAAATGCCTTGTCTGTCTTATTCATTTGCAGTCTGTTCTTTCACCTCTTCTTGGTTGACACTTGTTTGTACATTTATTTCTTCAAAAATACTTACTAATGAAGTACACTAATGTGAATTAGGGGATACAATAGTATAACAAAAACCTGACTATTGACCATGGAGAGCTTGTAATTTTAAAGAAGTTTCAAAAATCAGCCATATGTGGATAGATAATATTTTGATAAACAACCAAGTTTTTTTTCTCAAAATTATTCTTTTTGTCCCAGGAGAGGATAAATCAGCTTGAAAAAGAATAGTAAACTGAGTTTCTGAATGGATTTTTTGAAAGCTCATTACAGGAATAATTGCCTTGAAAGTCAATGAGAAGAGGCTTAAAACAAAAGTTTGACTCTGAATATCACAAGTAGGCAAAATATTAAGGAAGTGGGCACAAAATTTACCCATAACTTTCTATTAGAATGGCATTCAATGAAGTTGATGGCCATACTACCGTATATGCACCTGATCCTTTCTCATCTCAGAAGAAAACCATTTAGTAAAGAATATTCCCAATTCTTTTGTTTGGAAGGAGCTTCAGAACTCAGGAGAGAGCAAGAGAGTAAACCTGTGGTTAGTATGAATTACTGAGAAAGGGCACCTTCACTCTGCTTCTTCTGAGGCAAAACCACAGAAAATTCGACTGGAGCATGATCTCCCTGCCTTTGTTGCATCCTGGGAAGAAGGCAAAGCTTATAGGAAAGCCAGATTCTATATGACACCACAGCCCTGTGACTGAGTAAGATGCCTAGGCAAATGGGCCTGCAGGCAGCCTCACAGAGTGCAGCAGACTCTAATGAAATATTTTTAGTCCATTCTGGTTGCTATACTGAAATATCACAGACTGGATAGATTATAAATAACAGAAGTGTATTTGTCACGATTCTGGAGGCTGGAAAGTTCAAGATCAAGGCAGATTCAATGTCTG